ATTTTCTCATCTTTTTGGATGAATATGCCATTCTCATTCTCTTCTCCCTCAAGTTGAAAAGTTGGTGTTTGCAAAATAAAAACACATGGGGAAAAACTGAAAAATAATGTAGAAGGGAGAGCCAAAAGATGGTCGAAGTATTCTGTGTAATTTAAAAGTAACTGAATAAGTGGAAATGAATTGCACAATATGGTCCAATTGGAGCTAAGGGAAATAAGTTAAAAGCAAAAGAGAAGATAAAATTAATATTTGGAACATATTTCAGAATAGTATCCGGAAGAGGAAAGGTATGAGTATATTGCTTTGTGGTTTGCATCATTTCAAGCTGGACTGGTTGACTGGGGAAAATGCTGCTACAGGGAAGAATCCAATATAAATTGTGTTGTTCAGCAATGAGGAATGTATGGCAACATGGAACCCAACTCTCATCCTGACGTAATCTGGCGAGCACCAATGGGAAATTCAGTCATGTGACAGCTCAAAAGTCACATTTTCCCTATCCCTGATTTTGTCAAATTGGTTCCTTGTCCTCTGATGCTGGAATCCAATTTATTCATCCTCATTCCAGCTTTGAAACACTTTGATCTGGACACTATACTTGGAGTGTCCAGCATAAATGTGTATGAATACCAACACATAAATGTGTATGAATACCAACACAAATCCTTAGTAATCCCAATAATTTCACCACTGCATCGCTGAGCTTGAATTCCTACTACAGAAAATGTATAGATTTGACTTATGTTGGGAGCCCCTGGTGGCACAACAGGTTAAACTCCTGTGCTGGCAGGACTGCTGAGTGATAGGTCAGTGGTTTGAATCCGGGGAGAATGGTTTGAGCTCCCTATGTCAGCTCCAGCACCCCATGCAGGGGCATGAGGAAAACCTCCTACAGGGATAGTAAAACATCAAACATCCGGGCATCAACTGGGCAACATCCTTGTAGATGGTTAATTCACACCAAAACCGACTTGCTGTTTCTCAAGTCACTCCTGACATGAAAAAAGCTCGTTTTGTATAATTTATGTGCCTTCAGATCAGTTCTAACTTAGAGCAACCCTACGATATATTTCTTGGCAAGACTTTTTTTCTTTCAAAGGAGGCTTTCGATTGCCTACATCTTAGGCTGAGAGAGTGACTTGCCCAAGGTTAACCAATGGACTTTCATGGCTGAGGCAGGATAATAACTCTAGTTTCCCAAAGTCTAAATCTTGCACTAAAACCACTACATCATGCTTTCTTTGATTTGCATTTGTTGATCAGAAATTGTATGATGGCTTTCATAAACATTTGAAACAAAGCACTACACTACTAAACTACTAGAGGGGAAACTGAGAAGTATTCAATTGATGCCTAAATGCTGATTTTCCATTGGATCACCAAGGCATTTTAGGATAGCTTAATTGTGCCCAGAAACAAACCATTAGCCAGTGAAACTTCTTTTTTAAATCAAGGGAGTTGTTATTCACTTCTTCCAGCCCCAGTTAATAATCTGGCTATAGCTCTTCAGGCCAACTAAAGCTTTTGAGCACTTATCAAAAAATGGGATGTGAATAAAGCACATGTTACCATGGCCAGTCTGACTTCTCCAAGAACAGGCAAACTAGTTATAAATAGTGCACTGGTTTTAACAGTTCTAATGCACTCCTGATCAGGGTGGAAATCTGGGCCTCACAACTGAATCCAGAAGTACCTCCAAACTGAGAACCTGTGCTTTTAGAAAATGTATAACCCCATGTAACAGAGGCAGAATCCCCATTTCCACATCTGTCTTTTAATTGACTAGAAATTCCTCTGTCATGTCTGGATTGAATTTTAATTTTCTTTCCCACATTCAGTCTATTACAGCTGCTAGGTTCCTGTTTGGCACGGGAACAGTTTTATTGGAGTTAGATGGAAAGGATTAATAGATCTGGGTATCATTAGCATACTGGTGACACGTGGCCCCTAAACTCTCTCTCAGTGGTTTCATGTAGATGTTAAATTGAATGGGAGTCAAGACTGAACCCCGAGAGACTCCACAGGGCAGTGGCCAAGGAGCTGAACAAGGATCCCCCAGTATCACTCTCTGAGAATATCTTTCCAAGAAATAATTGAGAAACTGTCAAACAGTACCTCTAGAGAGGTGCCTCAGAGGGATACCATAGTTGATGGTATTGAAAGCCACAGCAAGGTCCAGAAGAACCAATAGGGTTATAGTTCCCCTGTCCAATTCCTGACCTAAGTCATCCATCAAGACTACCAAAGCTTCTTGCCATAACCAGGTGTGTAGAAAGTAAAGCTAAAGATTTCTATTTCTAAGACGAAGAGACGGTGTTTGCTATAGACACCTCCAAGGTCATGTGGCCAGCATGACTGTATGGCGCTATTACCTTCCCGCAGAAGTGGTATCTATTGATCTACTCACTCAAACTGCTAGGTTGGTAGAAGCTGGGCCTAACAGTGAGAGCTCACCCTGCTTCCCGGATTCGAACCTCCAACCTTTCAGTCAGGAAGTTCAGCAGCTCAGGCCCAAACCAGGTGTGTAACTAGACTGAAGTAGATCCAGGACCTCCAGGAACTTGGAAGCCACCATTTGCTCTAGTATCTGGCCCATGTGGGAGAATAACCTATGATTATCCTATATTGTAGGATTCAGGGAAGAGTTTTTCAGCGAAAGTCTTACAACAGACTCCTCCGGTCAGGCTGGAACTCTGTATTAATCACTTACCTCACCCACTCAATGGGTCCCTCTCTAGCTTGTTTAATAAGCCAGGAAAAGTAAGAGTGTAGTATACATGTAGTGGCTCTCACTTCTCCAAGGATCTTGGCCACATACTCACACTGGACAAAAGTCCAGTGGGAAGAATTTTATTAGAGCCGTTTATGTTGCAGCTTAGCGCTAATGTATTTCCTATAGCAGGGTATGAATGAAAGATTCATATCATTTCCTCCATTATTTCCTGCTTTTCAAGGTAGCTTGATAAGTTGCAATGACTCATTACTGGCTGGGCATTGAGGGAATGTGTGTCCCCAGTGGGAACAGTTTCTCATTTAAACATTTTAAAGGAATATCTGCACTTATACATTGAATAACACAATAACAAAACCTGAACAGCTTAAAATTTTGTTTTCCTTTCCCCCCTAGACTTCCTAATTAGTGAACTAAATTTAAAGGGTGCAACCATGGTATGAATGTTAGGATACTATCAATAATTGAGGAGGGTAAGAAACTTTGCTATTCTGAATACAGCTCCTGGCCCACCAAGCTCAATATGTATTGCCTGGCAGTGATTCTTAAACAGTTACTCTCCCCTGCAGAGCTTAGCTGTCTGTCTAAATTACTGACCAAAGGCATAGTTATATCTATGAATCATACTTTAGTGAAAAGCAAAAATGAACCACCAGTTCAGAAAACAGTTAGAATCCAGGTCTATTTGAGATTATTTTGTGCATGAGAGAGAGAGAGTTGTGTATAACAGTTTAGAAGAAAGATTGGAAATCTAATCATTGGATTGGCAAGCCTACATAGAGAGTGGAATGCTTTGAGTAGGACCCAAGTTAAATTTCTGCTTTCATAAAGCAGTCATCTTAGACTGAGTACTCCCCAAATATGACTTGGACTACAATGCTTCTTTTATGGGTGACGGGGCAATGGGGTTTTCAGTCCAGCATAATGCGAAGTAAACCAGTATAGTATAGTGGTTTGAGTGTTGAACTATGACTCTGCAGACCACGATGTGACTGCCTGCTTGGCCATGAGTGACTTAAGACAAGTCACAATATCTCAGAGGGAAGCAGAGGCCAATCTCTCTCTGCACAAACCTTGCCAAGAACCCCTCAATAAAGGTTCATTTTAGGATTTCCATAAGTGGAGAATTACTTGAAGGTACAAAATGGCAATAACAACAACTTCCATGTTATGAGCAGAATTTCAGGCAGTATGCGCCCTCAATCATTATTTGTGGCAGCCTTACAAAATCCATTAAATAGTGGAATGACTACTCCTAATACATTTTGTTTAGACTCTACATTTAAGTGTATACATTTAAGACCCATGATTTTCTCATTGAGAGCAGTCCCTCCATAAGTGCAGGTGACAGAAAATTCACACCATTGTCAGGTTCACAATCGCTGTGCCTAAGTTGTCAGTTTGTGACTTAATGTACTAGTGACAAACTCCTCTTACTTAATCTCTGAGGCTATACTCAAAGCTATACTCACTTTTGAGGGCCCTATGCTATGCTGGCATTAGTCTCAAGAGCCCAGAGTCAGCATGGGGGTGCTTTGAATGCGATTTTCCTTCTTCTTGGCAGGGGTTGGACCGGATGGCCCACAAGATCTCTTCCAACTATTCTATGATTCTATAACAGTGTAATAGAGTTAGACTTTGTGGATAGCTGAAAAACTCAGATATACTATTGAAATCTGGCAACTGAAGCATTCATGGCTAAATCTGGCTTTGTTATCATTCATATGTGTGACAATATTCATATTCATGTTTGGTGCAGTATACAAAAATAAAAATAAAAGCACTGATTCTGTTTTTGTACGAGTTTTTTATAAAGTTATTTGTTAGCTGGATTCTTTGTAAATACTTTGCATAGTGCATGCATATGATAAAGTGAATTTCATGCTACAGTAAATTTCTGAGTTTAGTTTAAACAGCCACAGGACTGACACTCCACATTGGAATGTGCTTTAATAGATTTGCCTTCTGAGTCTACTTTTTGAAATTTCACATTTTTAGTTTTTAAATCTTAGCAGGCAAAAAACACACATTTGGGTGGGTGCCTGTTGGAAAAAAAATCGCTAGTTAAATAGCATGATGCACCCAATAGTTACTGTTCTTTTATTCGGACTTTTGCCATTTGGCTCCCAACAATTTGTATGTCTTTAGCAGATTCTGCCTCAGAAAATACTTTCCACTGGCTTGCAAAGTGTGCTGCATTTCTTCCAGATACAATCATTTTCTATCTGTATTTCTATCCCTTTCCCATTCCTACACCCATTCTTTCTAGGTCAGAGGCAACCCAGAACCTCAGGTCACGTGGTACAGAAATGGGCATCTCCTGGTGCAGGGAGAACGTTGCGTGGTGGACTGCAGCATTCGAGGACTCTTCACTTTGACAATCAAAGGGGTGCAGGAGGGAGATGGTGGCCCATACACCTGTGAGGCCAGAAATGCTGGTGGCCTTCGCCAGGTGACAGTGGAATTAACAGTGGAAGGTGAGCACAACGCTAGTCACATGCTTATTGCATACAGTGTGTTTGCTGCCTGTTGACAAAAAGCAGTAGAATGGGTTTAAAAAATCTGGAAGGGAAGATTTTTGTGGCTATTACATACTGCCATTAGAAGAAATAAAGCAAATGCTATTTCTTTAACCTTTCAAGGAAACTGGGATGGGAAGGGCACAACAAATGAGGCTAAAGTCACTTCACATCAAAGGTTTTAGTTGGTGTTGGCATGTGAAGTCTTAGGGCAACACTTGTGTAATGCTAGGAACCCATGGGAAGGCCATCTAGTGCTAAACCCAGCTCCCAAACCAAACAGGATAGGTCATATTCCACATAATTGTGTGATGGCCTCGTTTTGTTTCTCTAGTCCAAAGAAAGTAAATAGAGGGGCAGTTCCTCCTTCCCCATCATAGTAGTAGAAGCCAGAGTTAATTCCTGGATCTGAACCCAAACAACTAAAATAATACTGGCACACTGGCAACGAAGATCCTCATGGTATTCCTCGTAGTAACCTATGGATGTGAGAGCTGGATCATAGGAAAGGCTGAGTGAAGGAAGATAGATGCTTTTGAACTGTGGTGTTGGAGGAAAATTCTGAGAGTGCCTTGGACTGTGAGAAGATCCAACCAGTCCATACTTCAGGAAATAAAGCCCGACTGCTCATTGGAGGGAAGGATATTAGAGGCAAAGATGAAGTACTTTAGCCACATAATGAGAAGGCAGGAAAGCTTAGAGAAGACAACGATGCTGGGGAAAATGGAAGGAAAAGGGAAGAGGGGCCAATCAAGGAGAAGATGGATGGATGGCATCCTTGAAGTGACGGGCTTGATTCAGAAGGAGCTGGGGGTGGCCACGGCCGTTAGGGAACTCTGGCGTGCGCTGGTCCATGAGGTCACAAAGAGTCGGAAGCGACTAAACGAATAAACAGCAACAAAATAATATATAATACAGAGTTGAAAGGCATTGAGTCTGGTTTAAACCATTATCTTAAAACATTACCTTCAAACAGTTAAGAACATATACAACTTTTACTATAGATTTTTAAAATCAGTTTATTGTAGCACCTGAACCTAAGAATGCGCAGCTTGCTTGAAGCTCATTATAGAATTGGGATATTCTGGTTCACAGGTCAATCTTGGTTGATAAAAGATTCAGTTGTCATTTCATGCTTTCTGTTCTACAAGGAATTTCTTTAACATTGTCTAGTTATGTTTATTTGTAAGTAATTCCATTCAGGCCCAGTAGATGGTGCCAAATATCCAGTGATAATATATTCTTGGCGACTTCAGTGTATTCTATCATATGAAGCAGAGCTTTCCTATGTCCGAAATTGCCCAAAATTTGGCAGCTAGGGAATCTGAATTCACTTGATACTTCAGGTTTTTTTTGTTAAAGTAAATACATATATCCCATTGAAAAAATAATGAGCCATTTTTAGAAATACTCAGGGTCAGGGCAAAACCTATTAAGCAGGCTTGTTTGTGTGGAGAAAATCATAAGCTTTCTATGCAAGTTTTGTTTTTTAATACACTCAGCTTTTAGGCTGATAAGCACCTAGTGCGGGATGGCTTGCCATTAGAAAGGAGCAATGTTCTGTAATTTTTCCACCTGTCTAGTGATATCTCAGCAGTATGAACAGAATGGCAAGGAACATGTATCTTTTCTGTAGAAGATAATTAGCTGCTGGGGAAGCAATTTTTGCCTCAACTGTAAATTGAAATGAATGGAAGGAAGGGAGAATTAACAAGAATACCTTGCTTTGTAAATCCAAATGCTACTTCGGTAGTTTGCAGTCCCAATAAATATATTTGCAGCTTACTGGTTTTCATAATTTTCCTTACAGGAACTGTTTTGAAGAAGTACAACCTGCCTTCCAGTGCCAAAGTTTCTGGGTAAGAGTTTTCATGGTTTTCATATTACAAAATCAGTTGGTCGGTTTTTTTTTTAATAAGCCTGACACTGCAACAGTTTTTAAAAAGTCAATCTGTCTGCCTTGTTATCAGTATTATTACGATTCTGCTGTGTTCAACAGCTTCTCCTGTCACTAAGAATTATGGCAAATTTCATCACATTTTCTAATATCTTATGGCAACCTAATGTCCTTTGTTATTTCTGTTTCTGACTAGCCTTCGAGCCAAACTGGGTAATGCATAAAGCGTGTGAGTGCATTGCACACATCTGTTTTATCTATTTAAGAAAACACCTGGTATTGGTCAGGGATCCCCATGACAATAGAAACAGCCAAAATAACTTATAGGGATGTGAAATTCATTTTACGTGCTGTGTAGTTTTGGCCTTCAAACCCTCACATTTTTATTATGAACAATTGGGCATAAAGATGAGCAGATGATTTGTTTTAAAATTAGAAATGAAGGTCTTGTAAGTGAGATCCAAGTAAAGATTTTTCCAGCTCTTGTGGTGAATTTTTGAGGCATTTGATGTACATTTTTGGAGTGCAGTTTCCAGAATCACCAAGTTATATGGATCTGGAGGGGATTCTGGGAAATGGGATCCCAAAATATGTATTTATTTATTGTTTACTATATGTATATCCCACCTTTCTCTACCCTGAAGGGGACTCAAGGCAGCTTACAGATAGGCAATAATTCAGTGCCTTAACAACAATATATAATTAAAATAAACATTTGAATTAAAAATTAAGATCAAGATTGAAATACATTAAAACATTTTAAAAACATGACAATCACTATAAAACCACGCTATTCGCAATCATAATACAGGTCATTCCAATAGTCATTGTCCATAAGTCCATCTATTGCACTATGGTTCTTCTCCGAAGGCTTGATCCCAGAGCCATGTTTTCACACTCTTTCTTAAGGTCAGGAGGGAGGGGGTTGATCTAACATTGCTGGGGAGGAAGTTCCACAGCTGAGGGGCCACCACTGAGAAGGCCCTGTCTCTGGTTCCCACCAATCGCACCTGCGAAGGAGGCAGGAGTGAGAGCAGGGCCTCCCCAGAAGATCTTAATCTCTGAGATGTTTCATAGGGGGAGATCCGTTCAGAAAGATAACATTTACAAACCATACTGCCTACTGAAAATGTCACTTGCACCTCCTTTCATTCAGAATTACCAAGCTGATCCCTCACACTCCCTGTTCACGTTATAATCTTCACATTTCTTTTTTTAAAAGATCATTTTTATTGTAATTTTCAAATGGGCAAGTTTACATAAAATAGGGGTAGAACAATTAAGGAGAATTATAGGGAAAAGATAGGGAAAGAGGGGAAGGGCATGGTTAGGGAATAATAGGAGGGGAATTTTCACATTTCTGTGATCCCTCCTTGAGCTGAGGTCCTAAATAGTTTCTCATAGTGTTCCAATATCTTTTAGAAACAGAAAAAGATGGGCAGAACTTGACTGCTTATGGGTAAGCTGTTGTGTGTATTTCACATGGTCCAGTAAAATGTTTGGTTGCCTGAAACTCATGGCTTCACTTTTCATCACCATTGACCATCTTCTGCCAAAGTATGGTTGTGGCATTTGCCACTGGAATAATCTTTGACAAACAAAAGTTTGGGGTTTTTGCATGAGTTTGGAGTCATGTCACACCGCGAGCTCATATCTCAAGGCCATATAGAGCTGAAAGTGACCTACCACTAAAATAGCTTGGTTTGTGACTTGAGTATGAGCAGAGGTGGATCAATACTCTTCCCAAGGGAAAAACCCTATAATGTGTGTTTCCTAGAAATTAACAGGAAAACTATTTTAGATTTGCATTGGAATGGTAGAAATTTAAGAATTGCAAATATTGTGGACTGCCACCCTTAAATCTGGGAGAATTGTTCGAACTGTGTTGGTACAAAACAAATGATGATCACCAACCAGATGTTCTAAGGTCACATGATGCTTTTGACCATCTTTTGGTTATTTTTGAGATAGATCTCTTGCTCAGTGAGCATACTAATAAGTCTGTACCAGCTGACTGGAACTTCTTGTTGGCAAGAAGATACTTCCTTAGCATTACAGTAGGTGATTTCAAAAGTCAACCAAATTGAAGTTTGACAAATTAATGTCCTAACTCATTGCTACACAGTTACTACCCTATAATTTCTGAATTTACACAGAAAGTGTACATATTCGCTGTGCAGCCATTTAACAACTTCCAGTGTGGTTCTTGGTGTTGAAGGATTGACCCATCTCTGCTCTGCATGTTTGTTTATATAATGTATGCTGGTTTTGCTTTATATGGATGTTCGTTGAGTTTACCATTAAGAAAGATCATCAAAGGAAGATTCTTTCCTTCATTACTAGCCACGCAGAATAAAAACTTGAAGCATCTCTGCTCACCCACTCCCCACCCCCATGATTTAGTGATTGAGACAACGGTGTAAAATCTGAAAACTAAACAAAACAGCAAGACAAATCATTACTTATTAGTATTTAGTTTGAGTAGTGCTTCACAATTTTTCGAAATATTGATGGCTATTCCAACATGAATGGGAAAAATCTCTCACTGGCAGGGTGAGTGGTCTTTTTCGTGGGGATTGGCTTTCCTTCCTTTTCCCCTCCTAGTTTACCCCCTTTTACAACAAGGGAGGGAACACCACCTATCAGGGCTGCCAATTTGTCCTCAGGACCTTCTGATTCTCCTCTCACCTGATTTGATTTTTAAGGAATAGGGAGAGGATGGCAGGTGGCTGGTTTCAGGCCAGAGATAACCTTTCTTAAATCAAATAGATACAGTCATAATATTTTTAGCCAACAGAAATGTGAAGATTGGCTTGCCAACATCCTGTAGAGCAGTGGTTCTCAACCTGTGGGTCCCCAGGTGTTTTGGCCTACACCTCCCAGAAATCCCAGCCAGTTTACCAGCTGTTAGGATTTCTGGGAGTGGAAGGCCAAAACATCTGGGGATCCACAGGTTGAGAACCACAGTTGTAGAGAGTGAAAATATCATCCAGAGTATTAGGAATTGCCCATTTTTGTCTTCAGTTTCTCCCTCTTTTACCTCCATTATCTGACATTAGTGGAAGTGGAAAATACAAAGTGATAAAATATGGATACTGGGTTGTTGTAGGTTTTTTGGGCTATATGGCCATGTTCTAGAACATGGCCATGTAGCCTGAAAAACCTACAACAACACAGTGATTCCAGCCATGAAAGCCTTTAACAATACAAAACAGGGATAGTTTGTCTTCAGTGGTTCCCAACCTTTGGGTTTCCAGGTGTTTTGGACTTCAATTCCCAGAAATCCCAGCCAGCTTCCAGCTGTTAGGAACTGTTGGAGCTGAAGTCCAAAACACCTGGAGGCCCAAAGGTTGCGAACCACTGGTAGCCTTTTGATTTTAAAACATTCCTCAACTTTTTCCTTGTTCTTTTTGAGGAAAGTGATAAGATGTCAGGTAAATTCTCAATCAATTCAGGGGAAGCTTTGAGCAAGTAGCACAGATCTAATACATGGCCAGGATTACAGAACTGTCCTCGCAAATTAGAGAAGAACAATAAGGTAATTAAATCAAAATTTAGGTGATGGAAGTTCTTCTGTACTTGCCAGATAAATTCAGAAAAACTGGCCAAGAAGGGAGATTAGATTCTTTGTTATAATTAGACATTGTCCTGTCTATTGTTCAGAATTGTCATCATCAGAGTTGATGAAGAGCATGCTGTATGAGTTCTGTATTTAATAATGGCATGGAGCAAAATGGGTATTTGTCTTAAGAAGAGATTATTAATATCGATATTATTATATCTACTCTGTCTTTCCATGACCTACTTAAAAACATTATTTCATATTGTTGTATAGAGATAAATGTTACATTTCATATGTGGACATATTTAATAACAATGTTCAAAATACACATTTGTTGTGCCAGATTTTAAATTTTGTCAGATATGCAAAATGTGGTTCATGTATCATTTCAGAAGGCTTGATGTCAGAAGATCAGACCTCTTCTGCCCAATATTTTAAAAGGACAGTTGTGTCCTATGGACTTAATGAGAGGCATGTACCTCCAGATAACTCATAGGGAGCATAATAGTGATTTAATATTTATAAAGTCTGATAATATTATTTTCCTTCCAGTGGTAGACTTACTGTTCCACCTGTAGAGCAACGGCCAAGTATCTGGGGTGAATGTCCACCAAAGTTTGCTACAAAACCCAATCGAGTCATTTTGCGAGAGGGTCAGACTGGTAAATTCTCCTGCAAGATAACAGGAAGACCTCAGCCTCAAGTCACTTGGTTCAAAGTAAGGTTCTCATTTAGGTTGTTCATCTTGGTCTCCCATTAAGAAAATCTTACTAGTTGTTTTTAGCTATGGCTTATTTCACCCCTTTGCTGTGTTAGACATTTTCAGGCCTTCAAACTAACTAGGAAACACCAGATTCCTGAGTCTCTTTATTTCCATGTTAACATCACTAATACAGACTAAAGTGATATGTGCTGGAGTTTATCCTAAAGTAGATTCCCAAAGTAAACACATCAAAAAACACGAAAGACTGGTGAAGCAAACATTCCCTCGGTGAAAAGCTTATATAAAGATAAGGTATCCTATTAAAGTTTTTTTTAAAAAAATTAGATTTATAAACCTTCCTTTACTGAAAACTTGGAAGCACACACATATTCTTGCACATATTCATCTTGGTTTTTAAATTACTACATTCTAGTTTTAATTTTTTTCTTTAAAAAATCAATAGTGTAACTTAAATCCAATAAATTTAAAATTAAAAGAACACAGACACTAAAGTCCTGGTTGACCTAACTGACTAAAAATCGATTACCTGAGTAATAATTATGTGTAAGAATCATGTGTTAAAAGCAAAAATTGATAGAAGGAATATAGAAGCCAGCTTTATTTGTAATTATTATATTGTGTGTATGTGTGGTTTTGTGTGTGAGAGAAAGAGACAGAGAGTAATAATTAGTTTTTGCAATTCAGCAAACAAAAAGGGTTGCGGATTTGATAGTTAGATTGGCAAGTATGAATACAAAGAATGTGTTTCATTGTTTTGTGTTTTATCTTTCTGATTTGTAGTCCTAAGACAAAATTATCTTTGGATTTTCTTGACAAGATATGTTCAGAGGGGTTTTGCTATTGCCTTCCTTTGAAGCTGAGAGAATGTGGTTCTCCCAAGGCAAATGTGTTTCCATTGCTGAATTGGGGTTTAGACCTTGGTCTCCCAGAGTCCTAGTCCAACACTCAAATTGTTACACCACAGTGGTTCTCAGAAAAACTTGAGTAGGACCCAAACTAGTTTCTGGTTTAATAAGGCAGCCTTCTCCAGGTGAGTATTCTCCAGTTGTGTGCTGGACTATCAGCCTATCATTCCTACCCAACAAGGGTAGGAGTTTTATATCTGCACAGCTTGAGAGCCACAGTTTGGGAAAAGCTAATACAAGGACAGCAGACAATCTCTCATCTCTTAATGAGAGATTCATCTCATAAGTTGTTCTTTATAACCAATAGCCTTTGTATGACTTCCAAGTACACCCATCTCTATCATAAAGCCAAAACCAGCCAGCAGAGGCAAGATGACACACAAGCTCTGATATTTACTTATTTATTTACTTCACTTGTATACTGCTTTTCTCATCCCAGTGGGAGACTCAAAGCGGTTATACCTCAGATTCAGACTGTGTACTTAATTTCTGGTCAAGGGCTAAGGTTTTCAGGCTGTGGCTGCATGGATGAGCAGGAAAACAAAATAGGAGTTGACCACTCTCCTGTGTGGCAACTCTTTAAATGTGACTATCAACACTATGTAGGAAATTGAATCAAACACTCAAAAACTTGACTTTAAAAGGAATTTTTACTGCAGAATACATACGTGCTTTGGCCCCAAGATTAAGCATTCATATTCTGAGTACATTTTGGCCAAGAATGGCTGAATATTAAAAGGATGGAAAATAGTAAAAAATGACATGTTAATCAGCTAGATTGCTTTTCATCCTGATGAAGATACCCGTAAACTTTTGTGTCTCTCCCTCCCCCAAAATGTGTGTAGGGTGAAATTCAGGTGCAGAAGAAAGATCGTTTCAACATGTTTGAAAAAGCAGGCATCCAGTTTTTGGAGATCCAAAATGCTCAGCTGGCTGATGCTGGAACGTACACTTGCAATGTGATGAATAGTGCTGGGAAAGTTTCTATGTCTGCAGAGCTCATGGTTCAAGGTATGGCTAAAACGAACTAAAAGGGAAAGAATGCAAGCAGGCCAGTTAAAAATTTTCCAAGAGTTGAGCCAATTCCTCCCTGCCCCCTCCCCTTTACTTTCTTCAGAATGAAATTTCAATGAAGAGCCACGCATGCAGCAGTGAATACATTTTAAATGTACAGGGTGAGGCAGCATAACTTCCTTTTTTCAAAACTTAATAAAACCCATTGTATGAATCAGAATTTTTTTTATAATGTAGGCACACACCTAAAGTTTTGTTTTATGTAGTTTTGAAGATCAAATTAGTTAGGTGACGTCCCCCATTCTCCATTCTCCATACACTGAGTAAACCGATTTTTGGCATTTGTCATGACTCTTGCCAGAATAGCAGGCGTTATGTTGGCAATTTCTTCGTGGATGTTGGTTTTCAAATCTTGTAGGGTCCTTGGACGGTTCACATAAACACGGGATTTAAAAAAAACCCATAGAAAAAAATCACAAGGGGTCAAATCTGGAGAGCCGGCTGGCCACTCCAAATCCRCTCGAAAAGTAGGCCTCAATTGCAAAAGCATGCTCCTCACTGTTCCAACGCATGATGATGACTGAACTGTGTCCGGACAAAACTTTATACTCCCACCTCTCGAACAAGACCACTAGCGCTCCGCTACRTCTTCAACCGACTGAATGGCGTGCATTTTTAAAAAAAGTTATGCTGCCTAACCCTGTATTATTATTATAATCAAAAAGTGCTGATACATCAAACTGCAATTCTCATGATTCCATAGCACTGAACAATGACAGTTAAAGTTGTGTCAAATGTGTGGCATGCACCCTAAGCATGGATCTGAAGCTGGTACTAACACTTAACCATTGCAATGCCACTATCTCACTTGTTTCATACTATCTTGTCAAATTCACAAATGGAGAGCAATATTTTGCTCACTGCAGTTCTGCTTGCAATTTTGTTTTTGAGCTGTTTTGATATTTGGATTTCTGCCCCCTCCTCCCCAGTTCATGTCAAGCACTCTATTTGCAACACAACACTTGCACTGGAATTTACATGTGTCCAATCACTCGGAGATTTTGTATCTTCCAATTATAAACATTTGCTGGCTTCCTTCTTTTAGGGACTTTTTGTTTCTTAAACTATTACAGGAACAAGGCTTTGAATACAAAGGAACATAATATATTTATTGTGCTTGTCTTATTAACTTGTTTTACAGCTCCACGCTCTCATTTGCTGTGCTTTTCATTACCTTGCAAAATCAGATAATAAAGCAAGCTGTTACACAATTGAGGATCATTGTTACTTTAAGCTAAGCCATGTAGACCTCACGTACAGATAAGCTATTTCCAAGTTGGGCCTCTCCCCCTGTGCTTATTTTTCCGTTGAGAAGCGGAACAAATGGTCTCTTAAGTTGATAGGGTCATGTAATGTTGCTTCATCTGTAGAGAAAACTGAGTGTTTTGAAAGCTTTCTTTTCAGCCTTGTGCGATCATCTTTCAGCTCCTCCCAACAATCCCCAACCATCCTCCAAGAATTTGAAAAACAAACAAAAATATTTTTGCTCTTCTAGGATGCACATTATGGCTCTATCTGACCAAGTGGTTCTTTATGCAATGCTTTGTTCCCCTCCAGTTCTAATAGAGAGTGACAGAGAGCAAAGGAAGATATGACACCTTCTACCATAGTGGGAAATTGAAATTAAAAAGAGTGTCTAAATTGACCCACATAAGAGTGGTTGCGGGGTGGGGGAAAACAAACGTTAAAATGATCTCCTGTTGTTTACCCAAAGATGTTTATTGCTAATTCCAGTAGAGTGCAGTGTCATGAGAGGAATTGCTCCCTTAATTTTACAAATCGGGATCAGTAAGCCTTTTCTTTTAAAGCCTGTATAGAAAGTGACAATTCATTAAAAAGCGGACTTGCGTGAAGCATGTACCAACCATAACGGCTAAAGCCTGTTTCAGATAGAATATTCACACTGTTACCATAAAAGGCTTTGAGTCATGATCCATGTTTGAGAGGGTGACTTTGTGCTTTTTCAGATTGAATCAAAACTAAGACGGGAATCCATAGCTGCAGGGGATAAAACCTCAGAATGGAAGTCAACAAGCAAGTAAATTACTGTGCTCCATTTGGACACTGCATAGGAACAGAATGTAAACCTACACCAGTCTGCTCAAAATAACATTGTCATCACATTAGTTATGTCCCACCATGTTATGCTGTGCAAATGTACACAGTGGTGGGGTAGGGGAAATACGGCATACTGCATTCTCTTATTTTGTTTTTGTGTAATTTCGCAAAGCCTTAATTGGTGACTTCTTACTGGGCTGAGCATTGTCTCCATTTGTGAACATACGCACACCCCTCATCTCTGAAATTTTATGCAATTTTGATGTGTCTGTTGTTCAAAATCTCACTTCATATATGCTGAGAAACCATGGTCCTTATCTGTGATTATTTCTGAAAGGAAAGCAAGGTCATAACGTACTGTATATAACTGCATAATAGTCGCCCCCGTATACTAGTTGTACCCCCTTTTGGGGACTTTTGCCTTTCCCCACATAATAGTCACACACCCCACTTGCATGTCTGCCCCTTGGAGCAGCCCTGAGGGGCAAGTGAAGCGCAAGAGATGGGAGGCTTCCCTTGCTTCCGCCATCTGATTGAGGCAATGAAGGAAGCCAAGAGAAGCCCTCAGTCCTTTCCAGCTGGACCATGCGGGGATGACCCTTCAGAGTAAGCAGAGTTTGAGGGTGTGTCCTGGCTTGTCCTAGTCTTGTCACAAAAATATGGAACCCTTCAGTATAAGCCATCCAAATTCTTCAGCCTTCTTCAAAGCATTACAGTTGCTTGTTCCAGGTTCAAGGCAAAGTTACTTGTTCTATCGAACTCTGGATTTAAAATGCTTGCTTGAGCATCACAGAAAATAGATATGTTCCTGCGTCTCGGGGTACTTCTGTCTAGGATTCCACCATTGTGTTATTCCATTTGCCCTCCCAAGCATGCATTCACCATTCTGTGATTACTTGCTTGTGACTGAACATGGGAGGGGAAAAATAAATCTTTTTATAAAAAAAAATTATTCATTTATTTATTTGACCAGTCATATGACCATTTCAAAATATAACACTTATGATCTGGTCATCAGCCGAAATAAAGTTTACTTACTTACTTACAAAATACAACACAAATAAATGACAAGGCAAAAAGAAAAGGACAGCAGCTGACCTTCTATTTATAGTCGGAATCTTATTTTCCTGGTTCTTCTTTCAGGAAATGTGCTCTTTTCTTGATAGCTTTCAGAATAAAAAGGCTTCCTCTGATTATAGGAAAAATAAATCCCTCTCTATTTGGGTTTGTCCCAGTGATATTTAAACCTTGGTTTTTTCTGCTCTCTATCACTTGCACCCCAGAGGACATTTTTTAACTGTCTGCATTCTGTGCTACTACCACCACATAAGATTGCTCATGGTTGTCCTTGTCTTACATTTGAGTTTTTCATCCTTAAGCATTTTTTATTATCTGCAGCATTGCCTCACATTTTAATGTGCTACCTCCTTTTTTGTATGGGCAATGCTGTGTTCACAAGCCTGGGAAAACTTGACTTGGAAATAAAGGGTGTGTTGACAGAGGATACCTAGGTATGCTTGATGTCTCTTGAACATGTTTTATGGTTTTAGAGACTATTTAAGTTATTTCTCCTTGTAATGTTGCTGCTTTGTAGAGTGTAACCAAAATGGATAAACTTTGAGGATTTGTCTTCTTTGGAAAACTGCTAGCAATCATAGCTTCCTAATGGGTGGGCACACACCATGTGGCAAAGGTTGAAATATACATAGGTTCCCAACACAGTTCTCCTTGAAGTGTATATGTTTCTCTCTACCACCCCATTCCACTCTCACAATTATGTGGGATAAATTTCCTTCTGAGAAGAATCAGGATGCTGTTGTTGTTATTTATTCATTCAGTCACTTCCAACTCTCCGTGACCTCATGGACCAGCCCACGCCAGAGCTCTGTCAACCGTGGCCACCCCCAGTTCCTTCAAGGTCAAGCCAGTCACTTCAAGAATATCACCCATCCATCTTGCCCTTAATTGGCCCCTCTTCCTTTTTCCTTCCTTTTCCCCCAGCATCATTATCTTCTCCAACTTTCCTGTCTTTTCATTACGTGGCCAAAGTCCTTCATCTTTGCCTCTAATATCCTTCCCTCCAGTTGTTTATTTTATTTATTTATTTATTTCGGTTTCTTGTACCCTGCCCTTCTCACCCCGAAGGGGACTCAGGGCGGCTTACAAAGGCACAATTCGATGCCAGCATCACATAACAGTAGTAACACAAAATAACATCAATTAAACAGTCGAAACAGTTAAACAACAATTCCTGCATTACAGCCCTAAAACCAATAAAACCAATAAAAATGATACAAACCTAATTACTCCTCATAGACGGTCAGCATTCGCTATCTCATAGTCCAAATTCCAATTCCACATTGTCAGTCCTGTCAGTCCTAGTCGTTTGATTGTCCTTATCTAGTTGTCAGATTGCCCAAAGGCCTGGTCCCACAACCACATCTTTACTTTCCTCCTGAAGGAGAGGAGGGATGTTGATGCCCTAATCTCTCCCGGGAGTGAGTTCCACAGGCGAGGGGCCACCACCGAGAAGGCCCTGCTCCTCGTCCCCACCAACCTCACTTGTGATAGCGGTGGGGTCGAGAGCAGGGCCTCCCCAGATGATCTCAGACTCCGGGGTGGGACGTAGAGGGAGATACGTTCGGACAGATACACTGGACCGGAACCATACAGGGTTTTGTAGGTCAAAACCAGCACCTTGAATTGTGCTCGGAACTGAACCGGCAGCCAGTGGAGCTGACACAGCAGGGGGGTGGTGTGCTCCCTGTATGTCGCTCCGGTGAGCAATCTGGCTGCCGCTCGCTGGACCAGTTGAAGTTTCTGAACAGTCTTCAAGGGCAACCCCACGTAGAGTGCGTTGCAGTAGTCTATTCGGGATGTAACAAGAGCGTGGACCACTGTGGCCAGATCAGACTTCCCAAGGTACGGGCGCAACTGGTGCACAAGTTTTAATTGTGCATAAGCTCTCCCGGCCACCGCCGAGACTTGGGGTTCCAGGCTCAGCGATGAGTCCAGGATCACTCCCAAGCTGCGAACCTGCGTCTTCAGGGGGAGTGTAACCCCGTCAGCACAGGTTGTAACCCTATGCCCTGTTCGGCCTTACGACTGACCAGTAGGACCTCTGTCTTGTCTGGATTCAGTTTCAATTTGTTAGCTCTCATCCAGTCCGACACTGCAGCTAAACACCGATTGTTGCGGAATATACGTTACCCGAGATCATTAGAGTGCTTTTGGAGAAGGAAGAAGATGGAGAGACAACTGGTCCGATTTCCAAGGCTTTATTGCTATTTTGCAAGATAGGGTGAACAGCTCAAATGACCGTCACAACTGAGGTCTAAATCACTTCAGCATTTATAGTACAATATCAACCTTTCCACACATGCGCAGAGTCTGACATTTACACAATACAATCATTAACAGGTATATAGTTCCCAAAAACATCTTTATCAGGTCTTGGCAACCACGTTGTGAACCCAAACATCTGCTCGATTATGTAACGTATCCCAACCTTCACACGTTACCCTAAGATGACTCTTATATGTTCAATTCCTTAAATCTCTAATTGAATTATAACTTTTATGAAATTGCCTGCTATTTACATTAAGTAGTCAGAGGATGGCGCTCTCTCACCATATGACCTTAGATGTTCCAAGTCTTGGATCGATACTATTGATCTCTTTGTCCTGCCAAACTTCTCTTGTTGACTTCATATCGGCTATAGCAAACACTTCTGACTGCCCAAGGCCCAGTGACGGCATTAACATCTGTAGATTTCTCATGCATTAGGAAGTTCCCTCTTTAGAGAAATGCTGTTTTCCTTTCAAAGGATCAGGTAAGACTTAAATCTTCTATTTTATTCTAAATTATGATTTCCCTTTATTATTATCTTATTTATTCCTAACGGCTGCCACACATTGAGCACTTGGGCTTTATTTCCTGGAGTATGGACTGGTTTGATCTTCTTGTGGTCCAAGGCACTCTCAGAATTTTCCTCCAGCACTACAATTCAAAAAGTACTTTGGCCACATCATGAGTAGACAGGAAAGCTTAGAGAAGACAATTATCCTGGGGGAAATGGAAGGAAAAACAAAGAAGGGCTGACCAAGGGCAAGATGGATGGATGGGATCCTTGAAGTGACTGGCTTGACCCTGAAGGAGCTAGGGATGATGATGGCCGACAGGGAGCTCTGGCGTGGTCTGGTCCATGAGGTCCTGAAGAATCGGAAGTGACTGAAAGAATAAACAACAACAACAACAAACTATGTAGATCTTTGTTGCCAGTGTGATGTCTCTACTCTTCACTATTTTATCGAGATTGGTCATTGCTCTCCTCCCAAGAAGTCAGTGTTTTCTGATTTCCTGGCTGCAGGCTGCGTCTGCAGTAATCTTTGCACCATCAGGATGCAGTGAATGGCTTTAGCAGTGTTACTGACTAGCCATAAAAATACTTAAATACTTGGAAATATTCAAGTATTTATTGTAAAGTCAAAACAATAAAACAAAACAATCAAAAGGAGCATATTAAAATGAGAAATGCCTATGAATAATAGAATAATGGAGTTAGGAGGGGCATTGTGAGCTATTTATTGAGTCTGATATCTGCTCATACAAGATCTCCAGCTAAAGTATCCTGAACAATTGCCGTCTTGACTCTTTTTTGAAGACCATTCTTTCTCTATTCTTTGAGCCATCACAAAAATGCCCAGTCTCTGTGGTATTCAGTGAATGGATTGGCCTCAAAGGGAGGACATAAAACAAGCCTTAAAATGTTGGTGGGTATATATAAGTAAAAGGCTGCCTTTTGGGGAAACAGGTCCCAGGTTATTCAAAGAAGGACTGATACATCCCATAGTGGTTCTCTATCCAGCCTGTGATTTCCCTCATGTCCTAAAGGATTTCTGAAGCTCCCAGCAAAGCAGCAAAGCTTTGAAACCTCTCTTAACTGGTGTCAGTGGATACTTTTTCAGGATTTATTGCAGTTCAAGTGACATTTGGAAGTAGTGAGGAGGTCGTTTTAGGGAGGAAAGGGATAACACAAATACATTTGCTCCAGTGCAGCAATTTTTCCTCCAAGAAATATTATAATAAACCTTCTTAAAATCTTTATTAATGTCATAAAGGATGTTTTCTAATACAGCATTTTAAGCTTAATGCAGCCTTTTTTGCTCTTAGCTCTAGAAATAACTGATTTGTGGTCTTGTTGCCATATTGACTGGACAGACAAATACTTTTGTGGCTTGAACTCATTTCTTGTTTTGCTGTTTCAACAAGTGGATATAATTTAGGACCATTGTGAATTCCCAGCAATCTCAGTTTCTGTGTCTTCAAAAAAAAAACAAGTCTCAGTTTGTGGGCAGTATTTGGAATCTAGATCATTGTGTTTTTAATACATCTTATTTTTTCATCCTTTTTAGGTTCGATTAAGAAAGATGCGTATGCTCACCCTCTTTGGTAAGTTTTCCTATTCCCCTTCAATGCAACAGAATTCTACTCTTTTGAAACAAACAGATTTTTTTTATCTGAAACTTAATCACACCTTCTGCCCTCTTACATGTCTCTTGAATTGTTGAGTCCTTGTTACCTAAAATGGTTTGTTGCTTACATGGTTTTTCTCTAATTTCTTGGGTGGTTAAGCAGCATATAAAACAAGGCTGGGCAATTTCAGGGCTTATAGATGTTGTTAGATTGCAATTCTCATCACCAAATAGCATATCCACTGGTGTCAGCTAATGATAATTATAATCCAACAGCACCTGGAGATCTATAAGTTTCCACGTCATTCTATAGAGTGTAAGGTGAAAGAAGCTTTCAGATTGCTTCCTAATACTTAATTATTCAAAACACAAGCAATGTTTTTATGAATCATTTTATGTTGTCTTAAGAATGCATTTCTCTTTAGCACAACAGCAAAATCCAGTGCCTCTATACAACCCACCATCACGACCAAAGCTGTTAACACATCAGAGTTCAAAAAAGCCACCAGCAATGGGATTACCAAAGAACTCAAATCCACATCCACAGAACTTTTGCTTGAATCCAAAGAAAGGCCTGTCATGAAGCAAGATCCCCCACCTGCCTCATCAAATGAGACCAAACTAAGCACATCAGAAAAGGTAAAGGAACCCAGTATAGAACCACTTAAAGAAGAAGGGAGAGTCTGCCAGGTTCTACAAAAAACATCAAGCACCATAACACTACAACCTGTTAAAGTACAAACTGGACCAAGGACAGAAGTGAAAGCAGCTAACTCTAGACAGGAAGATGACGATAAAAAGCCTAAACAGTTACTGACAGCAAACTGGAAGGGCACCACTTCTGCCAAGCTAAGTGGTCTGAGAACTAAGGAGCCAGAAGAACGGCTTGGGCTTAAAAAAAGCATAACTGAAGTAAAAAGGGAGCCTCAAGGGATTCCTCCCCAGTTTGAATGTCGCCCGCAAAGCCAGGAAGCACTGGAAGGAGAAGAAGTTACTTTCAGATGCAAAGGTAAATAGGTGGTGACCTTTTTTGTTGTGGGATTTTTAAAAGCAAAAGTGGAATCATATGGTTGAAAGAGACCACAAGAGCCATCCACTCCAAGATCATTCCACTCCAACCACCAATGAAATGGTATGGATTGTGCTGACACTAATTGACTGCATTGCCAGGGAGATTAGATTGAGTGTCGAATTCGTGCAGTTTGACAACACATTAATTGTCTTGGCTCTATGCTATGGAATCATAGGATCTGCGCCAGTTGTGCCTGTTTCTTGAGAAGTCAGAATTGGCCACAGTAGTCCAGAATCTGGTTACATCCTATATAGACTACTGCAATACTCTCTACATGGAGTTGCCTTTGAAGAGTGTTCGGAAGCTTCAATTGGTCCAATGGACAGCAGCCAGATTACTCACCGGAGCAGGGTACAGGGAACATACAGCCCTCCTGTTACACTGCTCCACTGGCTGCCAGTCTGCTACTGAGCGCAATACAAAGTGCTGGCTTTAGTCTATAAAGCCCTAAATGGTTCCAGCCCAGTTTGCCTGTCCAAATGTATCTCCCTCTATGAACCATCACAGAGATTAAGATAATTCTGGGGAGGCCCTTCTCTCGGTCCCGCCTCTGTCGCAAGTGCGGTTGGCGGGGACGAGAGACAGCTAAATTTATTTATTCTTTTTTTTGCTGTATTAATATACTGCCTTTCTTACCCTTGGGGGGACTCAAGGTGGTTTGCAACATACTGATGGCAAAAATTCAATGCCACCATACAGTACACAAAGAAAACATAATAACTAATTGCTACATATAACTATGAACTTGAAATCAATTAAAAACCATTGAACATTAGAAATACATACAATTTAAAAATTCAGGCAAGCATAGAATCATCCTAGTATAAACATTAAAATCCCATGATCCAAAAATCATATACCATAGCCATTCCAAATTGTCATTGCACATGTTCCTTAATTATTCTTTGTACTGCATTATTTATTAGCCAAAGTCTTGATCCCACAGCCACATCTTTGCTCTCTTTCTAAAGGCCAGGAGGGAAGGTGCTAATCTAATCTCGCTGAGGAGTGAATTCCAGAGCTGAGGAGCCACCTCTGAGAAGGCCTCTTCTCTGCCAAAGAGTGCTCATGCCATATCAAACTGCAAACCCCATCATTCCATAGCATTAACAACAGTTAATATGGTGTCAAATTGCATTCATTCTACATTGTAAACTAAATTTTGTGGTTCCTTCCAATGTTACGATTTTCTTGATAGACTATGAAAGAAAGATTGCTTAGGCCACTATTTTTCTCATTTGGAAGCATCATTTGAACTAAGCATATTTCCTTTAAAGGCTAAAGATAGGGAGTGCTGGTAATAAAGAAGTAGACTGGAAAAATTTGAAACTCTTTGTGTAAGGGTACTACTTCTGTTAATAATAAACCTGTGATTAACCAGTTTCAGGGAAACCGAAGGCAAATGTTGAATGGTTGAAAGAGGGAGCCCCAGTGGAAGCAGGAGATGGAATCCAGATATGTGAAGAGGATGGGATCCATTTTTTGTGTCTGAAAAAAATCCAGCTGGAAAACAGTGGTTCTTACTGTTGCACAGCTACCAATACTCAAGGCCAGGCTTCAACAAGGTGGATTTTAACTGTAAAAAGTAAGTGTACATCATTTCTTCAGTGGTCACATGGGCATCTGAGGCAGTTGCTTATAGGAAACTAGCCTCAATGTATGTTTAAAAAACAGAGTAAGTACATTTTATAGTAACTATAAAGGTACAACGTTTGGGTTACAGAGATTTATGACTTTCTCTACATTAAACTTTGGAAGGATACTGTTCTATTTTAAAATGTGTAAAACACCACAATTTGCTTTCCAAATTGGTCACTGAGGATGTAATTGTTTATTATATATGTAAAATCAATATGCTCACATAGAAGAATTTGTGTTGTGTGAATAATGGGATAAATTGGGAGCATGATGCTAAATCCAATTGTTTGTCCCAACTAGAGTATAACTATTGAAGAGTACAACTACTGAAGAAACACGACATGTTAGAGCAGTGGTTCCCAACCTGTGGACCATGGACCATTAGTGATCTCAAGAACTAAAATATAGTCTGCAGGCTCACTGTTACTACACCGTTGCAATGAGAGTTACTGGTCTCTCGAAATCCTCTTATAGTGCTGAAGCTTATTAAATATGGTTTTCTGTGGGTGAACAGATGGTGGCTACTGGATGGCATATGTTCTGTATCAGAAACTAGAGCTGATGTGGTCTATCCAATGAAATTTTCTGAATCAGCACTCCAAATAACCAGACCGAATCTAAAGTTGATCAAAAACCAATTCATAACCCTTTTGGTACTAATGTTGAAGAGTGGTCCCTGGTTAAAGTGATTCCTGGTCAGTGGTTCCTGGTCAAAAAAGGGCTGAGAACTACTGTGATACAGCACTTCTTATGTAAGTCTTGTTGACCAAAGTATGTGTTCTATTGGTTTTAACCTAGTCAATTAGGTTTGGCACAGAGTTTCAGGATGAAATAACCTAATAGGAAATGATTAATCATCCTTATCCTCTTCCTCCACTAAGCATTTTTTCCTTAGAGTCCATTGAAGCTGGAAAATGTTTTTATTTGGCTTATTTCTGCTAGTTTACTAAGGTTCCAAACACCGGGTGTTTTGCATGAATATGTCATCAATTGCCAGAATTAATGAAGTTTTTAACAAATGGTAACTTAGTTTTATTTATTTATTTTAGTTAATGATTCTCTAGCAGTAGTAGTAAAACTATCTTCTGTTTTGCTGTGTTGTTTTTCATTCTGGTTAATCTTGCGAGGAATCAGTTTTGTTGCCTATTTATAGTACATCTATGCTTTGATTTTTAGGGCCTAAAGTGAAAGACGTTGCTCCCCATTTTTCCAGTGTATTGACATCTTGCAGCGTGAGTGAAGGACAGGATTTTGTGCTCGAGTGTTCAGTTGAGGGGGTGCCAATGCCACAAATCACTTGGCTCCTCAATGGTAAGGCAATTTCTCTTGGTTAGAATACACATACATGAAGAAAACCCCTGTGCCTCAGACTAACATTTTTGTAAACATGTGCCCACGTGTTTACATTTTCACGTTATGAAATTGTTTTAAGAGACAGTTACCAGTTTTTAGGTATGATCGGGCGCAGGAGCCATACTATGCAGAGAAGCGGATATATCACTGTATTCTGTTGTATTTCTTGTATTTCTATATTCCTGAGCTCTGGCATGGGCTGGTCCATGAGGTCACGAAGAGTCAGAAGCGATTGAACAAATGAACAAAAAAAATTCTGAACATATATTTGATATAATAAAATGACTTATGTGCAGTGTATTTATTCTATTTTGGAATAAATATTGAAACTGTGTGTGTATGAATGATAGATGATACTTGTTGGTATATTAACCATTCTGTGCCTTATAAAGGTAAAACATGAAAGAAAGATGAGACAGCATGGGAGGTTATTCTTATAGCAAGCAAATAGACTGAACTAGCAAAAGGTTAAGTCTAGAAGGATATCAAATTAGAAATTATGATTTCGACCTGTGGCATTAGACAAGAGCATGGGTATGTGATGAATAGGAGCATGGCAGGAGGATCCAGATTGCAAGATGAACAAAAGGATGAGAAAACTGAGCAATGCAAAAATGTTCACAAAGTGAACTCTGGCCAAAGAAACTTGTCCTTAGAGATCCACCTCTGAAACCTCTATTTTAATGAGATCTAAGCTGAAACTCCTGAAAGCATATGGAACTCATAGGATCATAGCGATTTCAATCCCTGTACACCAGGCATTGTCAACCTGCATCCCTCTAGTTTTTTGGGCCTACAATTCCCAGAAGCCCTACCTATTTTGTTCAATGGTCAGGATTTCTTGAAGCTGGAGTCCTAAACAGCTGGAAGGTCACAGGTTAAGGATGCCTGCTTTAGACCATCAATGTCAAGACCCTACTCAATGCTGGACTGAGTATCCCAAGCAGGTAGCTGTCCACATACTTTTTTGATGTCCAGAGTAGGAGACTTCACCACCTCCCTAGGCAATTGGTTGCCAGGAAATAGTTATGATCAATGACAGTTGAATATCCCTTATCCAAAACAATTAGGGCGTGTTTTGGATTTCAGATTTTCCAAATTTTGCAACATCTATACTTGCATATATGTGAAGATATTGTGGAGATACAATCCAAGTATAAACATGAAATTCATTTATTTTCAATATAGATGTTATATACATAGCCTGAAAACAATTTTATAAAATATTTTCATGATTTTTGGCAAGAAAAAAGTTTGTCTACATGGAATCATCAAAAAGCAAAGAGCCCACTATCTGCTACCCATGTGGATGGTTTTAGATTTGGGAGTATTTTATATTTTGGAATTCCAGATAAGCAGTGTTCAGCCAATAATTTGAGCAGCGCTCTCTCTTACACATAGTTGCCTCATATTTGTGGACCCTATTATGTTAAGATTTTACTAAATATATACTGAAAGGACACAAGACGACTCCGCTACTATTCTGAGCTTTGTCCAGTAGAGGCCGTTTGTGACCAGACTGCCCTTTCTTCTGTTGGCTTTTCAAAGCAGAATTCATTTCAGTGGAGTGCAGATTTTAGGAAATGTGATTTAAGTGTTAATATATAACTGACAATTCATTAGCTGCAAAATTGTTGTTGTTGTCGTCGTTGTTGTATGTCTCTAAATCATTTCCAATCTTTAGCAACTTTAATACCTATCACAGGGTTTTCTTGACTTTGTTCAGAGGGAGTTTGCACTTGCCTTCCTCTGAGGTTATGAGAATGTGACTTGTTAAAGGCCACCAGTGAGTTTCATGACCAAACAGGGATTTGAACCTTTGGTCCAGAATCATATTCCAAAGCTCAAACCACCACGCCATGCTGGTTCCCTAGCCACAAAAACAAATGTAATGTCCTACCATTTTTTTCCTTTTTCTTAAGTCTTAAATGTAAGCCCACAAAGGAGTAGAGAGCAGTTGAAATTCACAGGGGAAAAAAGGTTCCATTTATACATTATATATGCCTGAAGAGTCACCATAAATAGAAAAGGAGATGAGGCTACAGACCTATTCTTGTCCACAGATGCACTTCTACATTTGGAAAGAATGAGGCAATTGCCTCAGGCACCTTCCACAGCTGAAAAAAATCCCACATTATCTGCTTTGAACTGGAATATATGGCAGTGTAAACTCAGATAACCTAGTTTAAAGCAAATATTATGAGATTTCTGCCGTGATATTCTGGGTTATATGGCTGTGTGGAAGGGCCCTTAGGAAGCAGATGCTGAGAAATAAGTAATAACAGCTCCTTCTGTTGTTGTCATTGAGCCTCTGGCATAAAGAATGTGTTGGACTGGTCTGTTGTTTTTTCACTTTCCTTGTATTCAGCCTTGACATCTACAAAAGGGGAACTACCCATGGGGTAATTACGCCTGCCCATTGCCTCATTGCACATGTGCATGCCAAAGGCAGGGCTGTTACATATCATTTGATTTCCCGCTATATGAAGTTGTTCTGTTTCAGTGATTTCAGTTGTATCCTACTCTTACTTTCAGCCCTTTCACTCTCCACAATTAGTGTTTGAGTTTGCCACTTCAAGATCATCCCAAAACCCAGGGTTTCCAGGTCAAAATATGGGCCCAAAAGATGGCTGTTGGCAATGTCATTATGTGTTAGGAATTAAATAGTTGTTCATAGAATCATAGAGGTGGAAAAGACCATAAAGACCTTCCAGTACAACCCCGTCAGACAGGAACACACAATCATAGCATCCCCGACAGATGGCTATACTCCAAGGCAGCATATTCCATTGCCGAACAGCTCTTATTGCCAGGAAGTTCTTCCTAATGTTCAAGTGAATCTTTTTGAATCCATTGTTCCATGTCTTGGTCTCTACAGCATCAGAAAACAGGTTTTCTGATGCTGTAGAGACATCCTTTCTCAGAGACATCCTTTCAAATAAATAAACATATATTTTCTCAGCCTTTTTTTTTTTCTTCAAGCTAAACATCTCCAGCTCCCTCCGTGATTCCTCATAGAGTTTGCCTTGCCCTTCTCTGGATACATTCCAGCTTGTCGATATCTTTCTTGAATTACAATGCCCAGAACTGGCCACAAGTACTCCAGGTGAGGTCTGACCAAAGCAGAATAGAGTGGGAGTATTACTTCCCTAACATTCACATGATAGTTTGAGCAAGAATTTCCCCATTACTTTTCAATTATATTTAATTAGCTAATCCAACTCTTAAGAAATATGTCTTATAAGTCCAAAACCATAAATCACTTTGAATATTTGCAACACTTAGGACCATCACATGTGAGTAGGACAGAACTCTGAAAGGTAATGAGTCAAGTAGAACGATGTGTTCTACATACTAATCTTATCTCCTTCCCATAAAACTTAATGCTGTTCCAGCACGTGAATGAGTAAAAGGTCTAGGAATCTTCACAGCTGTTATCGTATTTCATGAATACAGTGAATGCTGCACAGTTTAGGCTTCTTGCAAATCCAAACTCATATGTAAAAATTTATAGAACATGGCTATGTAGAAAATTTTGGAGATTCTTTCTCTCTTTCTTTCTTTCTTTCTTTCTTTCTTTCTTTCTTTCTTTCTTTCTTTCTTTCTTTCTCCCATCAGAAAATTGATTTATTTGCCATAATTGTACCCTGCCCTTCTCTATTCCCAACAGGGGAGTCAAGGTGGCTCACAATGGCACAACGGCGTGCCTCAACAACAATCACCTAAATATTAAATTTATTTATTTTATATTAATTTAAATATTAAATTAAATTTTAAAACAGGTACTATATATAGGATCTATAGCAAAATATTATTTTCAGTCTTCTGCCATGGGTAATTCCAGATGAGATGTTTATTGTGTAAGCCTTTTTGCCTTATTCACAGGTTTCTGTTAGTGTGAAAGGCCCAGAGCAGTGGTTCCCAACTTTTGGTCTTCCAGGTGTTTTGGATTTCAGCTCCCACAATTCCTAACAGCTGGTAAACAGGCTGGGATTTCTGCAGGGTTGAAGTCCAGAATTCCTAGAGGACCAGAGGTTGGGAACCACTAGTCCAGAGCGTACTTGTCTTTCACTTGGCTTCCTGTATTCCCAAAACTATTGCCATCTTCCTGCAAAAAGGAAAAAGATTGAATAGCTGCATAATGTCTTCTAATTGGTATGGTATTTTTAAGTTCTGTTGTTCTTAAGGGTTGCTACCAGCTGTTCAGAACAATCCCTTGTATACCCACAGAGAGGGTGGTTTCGCACAAGACTTGAAATTCCAGCTTATTTAAACCATGGTTACTAGAATAGATTAAAGATATATTGTAAGCCACCGTTTGGGCTAACTGGCTAGCTGTTGTGACTTGATTCACAATCCATAATAGGAGTAATTTCTGTGCCTTTACCTGCTGCCATATCACAGAGAAACAAGTACAGTGAAAAGTAATGCCTCCACCTTCATAACTCCTCAACAGATTGCAGTACTGGTATGTGGCAGGTATTGGCTTGTTCAGTAGACTCTCCTCTACAGTTCCATTTTGGCGGGAAGCCTTAGCATTGAACAGTTGTGTTGTTAAAGTGCAAAGTATGGAACCCTGCGCAGACAATCGGTCAATGCGACTTAAGCAACGTGCAGTCATTGAATTCTTGACAGCAGAAGGTGTCGCCCCAAAGGAGATTCATCAGAGAATGCAAGCTGTTTGTGGTGATTGTGTTGATGTGAGTACTGTGCATTGTTGGGCGAGTAAGTTTAAAGATGTTGAGGTGGGAACATCTGACTTGCCTGACAGACAAAGAGTTGGACGTCCTGTGACAACAACCACCGAGTTTCACAAGCAAAAGGTTGACAGATTGATTCAGCATGCATCACTCAGAGAAAAATTTCAAGCATAATCAGCATTTTACAAGAATGTGTGGGTCACATTATTGCTTTGCTTGGCTATCGGAAGATCTGTGCATGATGGGTACCCAGGATGAGAGAACTGTGAGATGCTGGTTGCGGAAACAGAGTGTTGACTTCTTCTGTGACTGCTTCAGAAAACTTGTTCATCGTTGGCAGAAATGTATCCAATTGTTTGGTGATTATGTGGAAAAGTGAATAGTGGTAGTTAAAGAGCACATTCTAAGGATTATTTCTGTGTTTGATTTATTAAAATATTCCCATCCAATCCCAAGTAACGAAGGTGGAGGCATTACTTTTCATTCAACACTCATATTTGAGAATAAGAAAAAAAGTAAAGTATTCTGGAGGTTGCCTATTTAAAGTTCAGGCATGTAGCATGGGTTCTAAACAAAGCATGGTTTTGTCTACTATGTAGAATGAGCCAAAGTCATCGCTTATTTCTTTCTAAAACTGGGACGTTCCTAATTGTTAGAATCTGTGACAGTTTTTCATGTTGTTCCTGTGACCGAATAGAGTTGAAGCCTTGAAAAGCAAGGCACTATATGCACCAAGATGCTGTTTGTTGTTGGACTCCCTGGAAAGGGTTTACCAACGTTTCTTCCTTATTGTATACAATATATTTTTCTTTCTTAAATGCCTTTCCAAAACTTTGCCTGCTGAAGGGTTTTAATGAGAGGTGCGAGGCAGTTGTTTGAATACTTAATTTCAAACAGTTTAAAGCATGGGATCTTAAAATATTAAAAAGCAAGCAAGTCAAAAGCCAATAGACAATTATGGTTTTGAAAAAGATAAAATAAAGAGAAATGAAAAAAGCATGTAATATTGAATTGAAAACAAGGACATTGTGTATTCTCTGCTAAGCACAAACATGTTACTTCCATTCCTAACTCTCAAAGCTCGCAAATAAGTCCTCTCTCACACACTTCTGATCATGATGCATAACTGTTTATACATAATTTGGAAACAGACTGGAGCAAATTATAAACTCTATCTGAATACCATTATTTCTTTCAACTTTGCAGCATGTACCTTTTAGGACATGATTTTGCTTAAAGCCAGGGGGTTGACTGCGATATCTTTGTGAATGCAAACAGTTCTCTACACTCTGTCAGGGAAAGATGTACTGCAGGAAAGGATAGCTGTCTGTAACCAAATAAAGGAGAAAAAAACATTCCTAATCTGTATTTGCTAGCTCCAGTAATTCTTAACAGAGCTTGTGGCAAAATGCTGTGCAATATAGAAGAGGACTTTTAGGAAGATGATATTGATCACTGGAATGGCTCCTGTTTGGTCTTTGAAATGTAGAGATTAGAATACTTCCATATCAGGTCAGACTTGAATCTTGTGGCTCTCAATACTGGAATGAACATGAGTTGTTCCAGAAGCATCCACAGGGTCCCCGTGGTCTTCGTACGCTGCATTCAGAGTGTGCCATAAGGTATCGTTCAGCAAGCCTGACCCAATATATTCAGCTGCCTGGGACAAAGAATATAACCCTTCCTCCATTTCAGACCAGCACTTAACCTTCTTATGAGTTTCAGTCAAATAGGGCATCCACAACACCTGAAGGAAACAGGGCAGATAAGGGGACACAAAACAGGTATTGGGACACATTGAGCTCTTTCCTTTTAAGTAAATGGAATAGCTAGGACACTCAAAGTGGACAGCTAATGGGTTGGCATTGCTAACCCTTTTGTACCTGTCACATTGCTTTCCTTTGCCTAAAGATATATCTGAACCTGCTTCTCATAAATATCAGCAGAGGGCCAGAACTTTGGCACAGAAAGTCAGGAGCAAGAACACGTTATCTAACTATGATTAACAGGTTTTCTCAAAATGACAGGATCCAGAAAAGAGTGGAAGGTATTTGATGTGTTTATTAGGAATTGAAATCCTATTATACAATACAATTATATTGATAATAGATTCTGGAAACTGACTTTCAGTTTATTTTTGTCAACAATAACTTAATATAGTAAAAATGCAGGCCACATTTCAGGCAAAGAGAAGTAAAATCAGGACTAGCTTTCTGTGGTAGTGGCAAGGGATGCTGACACAATTCTTCCAATTGTATTCTTGGGAGTCACAGTGGCAAGTAGGGCTTTAGTCAAATAAGAGTAGATGATGCTGGGAGAAGAAGGAGCAAGGATACCAATCATCAATCTTGCTTGTCTGATGATCTGTGTGCTGTATCTCTCAACACAGCAGCAGCCAGATGTGCTTGGCAACTCAGGATGGAAAACACAAGTTGATATCGCAGTTCAGCTATGATACTTAGTTGGGAAATTCTAATTTATCTCAGCTTAACCTACTTGCTAGTCTGCTGTGAGGTTAAAATGCCACCATGGATTACTTGGAGAAGGGACAGAAAACAGATGTTACAAGCAATGCAGCATGTAATTTCCAGAAGGTTGGACTGCCAACATAGGATTCCCTCCATATATTTAAATATTCTCTCCACTTTTTTTACTTGCCTGGTGTGAATTTCACTGTAAGAATGCACTGTGGGAATCTCTGTGAATAATTCATCAAAAGTATCCTTGAAAATTCGGGTATTATAAGGATGCAGCGGGAGGACTGATATTGGTGAGGGACTCATCATTTAATTCTTAACCATCATGTCGTCATCATGGGCTATCACCCATGGCTGATTATGTCTTCCAAGGGTAGAGTCTTGGTGGTGACGTTAGATCTTATTCTGGATCCGCATGGTCTTTTGCAACGAGGACATACATTTCCAGATGGAAGGGGGTCCCAACAAAGATTTTCTTGACGTACCTTCCTCTTGGTACGTTTTGCCTGCTATTCCTGCCTCCTCAAAAACCATGGCACTGTTGATAACAGCTGACCTCCAATTAGAACACTCTAGAGCCAGGGCTTCCCAGTTCTCGGTGTGTATTTCACATTTTTTAGGTTAGATTTAAGGCCATTTTTTAGCATCTTTTGCTGTCCACCAACATTCTGTTTTCTGTTCTTGAGCTGAGAATAAAGTAACTGCTTTGGGAGATGAGGATTGGGCATTGGGACAATGTGGCCGGTCCAGCGAAGTTGATAGCAGTGAATATGTAAATGAATTGTAAAACCATAAGCAAATCATATAGCAGAGCAATGAATACTAGACTCATTTAAAAAGATGTTCAGCCATTTCTTGGTTTTTCTTCTGTAGATCGGCCGATTCAGTATGCACATTCTGTCTTTGAAGATGGCATTGCAAAGTTGACTGTTCAAGATGCCTTACCAGAAGATGATGGGCTTTACACTTGTTTGGCAGAAAATAATGCTGGAAGAGCATCCTGCAGTGCTCAAGTTACTGTCAAAGGTGAGTGTTTTGAAAGGGAATGATGTACAGTTTAGGGGAAAGAGGATATGGATTGAATTCAAAGCATTGGTTTTGCCTTGCATTTTGGCTTCTGAAGGATTGCGTATGGAAGTAGAATCTGGGGATGGAAACAGCGTTAATCAGTTGACCTGAATGACATAAAATCATGTTGTATCTTGGGAGATACATGTATATGTGCCTTCAAGTTGCCTGTTGACCTGTGGTGATTCCATTAATTTCATTGGGGTTTCTTAGACAAATAATAGTCAGAAGTGGTTTTGACAGTCCCCCCCCCCCCACCAAATATAGTCTACAGCATCTGGTCTCTCATTCAACTATTAACCTAAGTTGTCAAAAATCAAGTGGGATTTAGTACCTTTAGGTTATTTAAGCACAACAACTATATTTTCTTCCATTTTGATTAGCTAATTTGCAAAGTGGCATTTTGGAGAGTCATATGGATTTTTTATGTGGGAGTTCTGTTATTTGAAAAGTTAGTATATATGTTTTGACCTGATTTTTTAATTTGCATGGGGTGGGGATGGGGGGGAATAACAATTTGTTTATTGATAAGTTATGGAGAAGCTCAGTTAGCATTCCCAATTTGGATCGTTGCCTTGGATGCTGTTGTTATTATTGTCATGTATACTTTATGAAGTAGTGCATGGTTAATATTGTAATGACCAGTAATGGTAATTTGGGGAATAATATAATCTGGTTAGGTAATTTGGGAAAGAAGAATTTTGCTATGGTTAGGTAATTTGTGAAAGAATAACCCTGCTCTGCTCTCTCCCACTCATCTTTCTTTGATTCGAACACTCTTTGTAGGGTCATATTATATGCTTTAATTTTGTATAATTGTCTGTGTATTTGTGGCTTCAAGTCATCTGCTGACTTATGGTGAACCATGAATTTTGTAGGGTTTTCTTAGGGAAGGAATGTTCAGAGGTGGTTTGGCCAATTCCTTCTTCTGAAATTTCTGGAGGAAGAAGAAGGCCAGTCAGTAGCTTCAGAGTTTTCTTCTTAATTCCAATCAGGATTAAGACCATTACACATTCCTATTTGTATTGAGTAATGAGAAGATATGGAAGAACAGGACTCTTGGCAGAGGGAATGGGAGGTATACTTTTCTGCAAGCAGCTTTTCTACAGAATCCAGCTGTAGGAATAATGTCAGTCATTGTCATTATCATCATCAACATCATATTGTGTCAGTTGATTCTATCATGTTAGAGGGAAAGAATCTACAGAAATATGTTCCTGAACTTACCATGGAAACAGGACACTTGATAATAGCAAACCCTAAAGAAATAAATGATTTCCCCCAGAAGTTACCATAAAGTTATCTCGAACAGGAAATTCCCAAATAGGACATATTTTTGTCAGATGTGGTTAAGTGTCTAGATCCAGGGAAGACATGCTACCCCTCTATTCAGCCTTGGTAAGACTACACCTGGAATACTGTATCCAGTTCTGGGCACTGCAATTGAAGGGAGATGTTGACAAGCTGGAAGATGTCCAAATGAGGATGACTAAAATGATCAAGGGTCCAGAGAACAAGCCCTATGACAAGCAGCTTAAAGAGCTGGGCATGTTTGGCGTGCAGAAGAGAATGCTGAGATGTGATGACCATGTATAAATATGTGAGGGGAAGTCATAGGGAAGAGGGAGCAAGCTTGTTTTCTGCTGCCCTGGAGACTAGGATGCAAAATAATGGTTTCAAACTACAAGAAAGGAGATTCCACCTGAATATGAGGAAGAACTTCCTAACTGTGAGAGCTGTTCAGCAGTGGAACTCTCTGCCCCAGGGTGTGGTGGAAGCTCCTTCTTTGGAGACTTTTAAACAGAGGCTGGATGACCATCTGTTGGGGGTGCTTTGAATGTGATTTTCCTGCTTCTTGGCAGCGGATTGGACTGGATGGCCCACAAGGTCTCTTCCAACTCTATGAAATGGTGGGTACCAGGCCCATTAGTACTGCATTTAACATTGAAGAAATAAAATATGTGTATAGAAATTATGAAAATTTACCATGAAGCTTGGTAAAACAAAACATTGCATCGTCAATGTATTAAAAGCATGTAAATCAAAGCTGAGAAAGGAAATGGGCACAGAATGTGAGCATAGTAATAATAACAATAGCAGCAGCAGCAACAACAGCTGATGGGCATATATTTACTGCTCAAGAATAGATACTTCAAACAAGGCAAATATTTAAAAGAGCAACCATAGATGCTGAAAGTCTTCTGTATAAAGGAAAAGTTCAATCTTATGACCACCTTGTCACTTTATACAGGAAGATCATGTGGACTGGATATAAGAAATTCCATGAGAAAGTGGTCATAATGATTCATTGAAATATATAATTTACAATCACCCAACATCTGAAAAAGTTGCCAATAATGGGGACATAAAAGACATTATTTGACAAGACCACACTTGTTCCTAGATTATTTGATAGAGTCTGAATCATTGGTGGTCCAAAATTCCAGCAATACCTTGTAGACTGTGAAACTGATATAACAACAATGACCGTTGAACTTTATGTCTTGCCTTTTTCTCAAATTAAGACAAATAGACCACATATGAAACATAAAACGCACGTGTGTAGGGCTCGTAATTGGAGGGTTCAGCAGTTCCCTGAGCATTGACTCTCCTCTCCTGAATGTTTTTCAATAGTCCCCATGTGTTGAATTTCTGCTTTTCAAATTGTCAGTTATCATGGACTTCAAATACTTGTTAATTTAGCTCAGAACTACTATTTTATTTTGTTTCAGTTATGTGTCCCATTTGTCATTTCAGAATACAAAGAAGGATACCTACATTTCCCAAAGCCTGCCATCTAGACTTTGGCTAAACAAAGGCTGGCTTGGTTGCCACAGGCTTGTTTCCTTATGTGGCCACAGACCAAGCCTGGGACTTTCTCATCCCCTCTTTGTGACTTGTGCCACACAAGAGCACAACCCTGCCCCCCCCCACCCCTTCTTGGCTCAGTGATTATGCAAATTATGAAGCAGCAATAGCATGTGCGATGATCATTTGGTGAAGTTTACCTGTGTCTAAGTGTCTTTAAAGTGGCCCTCATACTTTCCCCCAAGCAATCCTTCAGAGCTTTTTCCATTTTTATTTTTTTATGTATATGTACATAAAAGAGGTAAGAATTACCGAACTGAACCAAAGGCTTTGACATTAACAGTGTTGTAAAAGGCCCATATAAGCAGCTTGTAAACCAAATGGAAAATAACATAAAAAAGGAAAGTCTGGCTATCTAAATTCCACTGGATTATGGGATCAAGTTCTAAACTGAAAGCATATTATCGGCACAAAAGGAGATGTTCTGACAACTGGTTATAAAAATAGCTTGTGTGTAAAGAGTTCCCCTCATTCAGGTTGCCGCTCCTAGAAAATGACCCTCCAAACATTACACATCTATGTTACATGCATGCATGCGTTTCAGATATATTCAAGTTAGCCTTTGTATTCACCATGTCCACCCAGTCTCATTTATTTTGTGTTGAGTGCACTGTATCTCACATTTCCCAGGCAACTAGGAACCGTGATCTTGAAATTCACACATCCCATATTTAATATATATCATCCCTTTCTCTCTACATAGGACATACTGCAGTTGAAATGTGATGCAATTAATGATTGAATTTTAAAAGTGTACAAATGATATTAAATCAGACAGCATATTAAAACACCTGTAATTTAAATAGTATAAAACAAATTTTAAAAGATCGCAATAAGGATGGATGGGCAGCATATACACCATTAAAAAAACCCCACATTTTTGCATAATCATTCAATCATCAAGTAGATGCCTGTCTAAATATAAAAAGTACAGGGAACCGCATTTCCGTATGTTGTGTTATTTTATCCAGTGGCAGCTTGTTACTTTTTTGTTGGTGGGGCAGGGAATCAGAACTTTAAAGTAGATGAAACCTACTTTACCAGCATTGGTTGATTACTTTGCATGACTACTAAATTCTGCATTAAAACCCAGGGTGTATTCATTGACCCAAGACACCACCAGGCACCTCTACTTTTAAGTTTTCTGGCATTCGCAACATAATTTATTATACTTTGACATATGCTTAAGTCAGCGTTTCTGATTGCAGGCTCTTGGCATTTGATTGCAAAAATCATTGGAGATGAGATGTCCTAGTGTAAAAAGCAATTTCTGTCCAGTTTTTGAAAGGAAATAATAGTTGGGGTTCACTCATCTATGTTTTATAGAAAGCTCGATGTATTATACTTGCACTTCATCTTACATTATTTTCATAATAGCAGGGTCCAATGTTTTTTTATTATTCCAATCTATCACTTCCTGCCATTGAATGGATATAATTCACAAAGGCCTTGATTAATTTGTACTTTTCATAGCTCTTGATTTTACCTGTTGCCTGCTAACCATTGATACCTAATGCCAGCTAACCATCTGATAGCACCTGCTTCTCGGTTGAGACACCAAGGACACATCTACACTCGTTAATGAATGCAATTTGACATCACTTTATGTGCCATGGCTCAATGTGGAATTCTGGATGCTGGAGTTTTATAGGGTCTTTCTTCTTCTCTGCTAAAGAGTGCTGGTGCCTTACTAAACTATAAGTCCCAGGATTCCATAACATTGAGTCACGCCAGATAAAGTGGTGTCAAACTTGGTTAATTCTATAATGTATGTGCACCCCAAGTGAGAAGTATCATCCTTCAGGGTGTTCTTAAATCCTTCTTTCCTACATTTTCTGGTAAATGAAAAATTGTGCCACAACACTGTCTTCTACTCACCTTTTAACCCTTTAGGGTCAAAAGGCAGAGAGCTGCCTGCTGATATTTATATAGCTTTCCTGCATTAAATGTTGGATGTTAGATAGCCATGGCCCTCCTAATCTGATTATAGCAGCCATTCATTGGTCGGCAGGCAAGCAGATTAGAGGACCTGAAAGCTTTCCAAAGAGACTGCTGTGACCAGTTTATCACAGCAGAAAAGATAGATGCTG